TCTTCACTCATCTCTCCTCACTTCATCTTCATCACTGTATTGCTTACTCATCATCACTTTAAAGTGCCTTGATTTTTTTGCTTTTTGTATTTTTAAAAATTTTATTTTAATTATAAGGCTATAATAATCAAACATCAATACTAAAAGTCATTCCAATTTCACCATATTACTAAACTTGTAAAATACTTTTTCCAAAATTCGTTCAAATTACTAAATATTTAATTTCTATTCAAATTTCGATTCCCATATTAAAATCAAACACACCATAAATTTTCAACCAATTTTTAATCATCAAAACGTTTTGTTTCCCAATGGTGATGAGTTAAAGTTAATTTTGCATTAATTAATTATCATCATTGCAAATGTACCTTCTTAAAAAATTTTAAATTTGTACGGACTCTATTACAATGTAATATCCAAGAGCCAATAACGTCTCTATTGAGACTTGAACTCACAACCTCCCATATAAAAGTCTAACTCAAGTATCATTTGAGCACAAAGTGCTTGGCCCTGATTTACTATCTTTCGTTGGCAATTGAGTTAATTCTATTTTTTGTTCTAAATTTGTAGATGACAGTTTAATTTTAATCATTTTTATCAAAACATCTACATTTGGTCCTACTATTATTGTGGCATGACTTTTTTGGTCCTCCGTCAACAAAATCGTTCAAATATTGTTAAATACAAAGATATTTCGATCATTTTTATACAAAGTGAGTTGACCATGCTATATTTTATGTTTATTTTTTTAAAAAAATTCGTAATTGAAGACTGAAATGCCTTTATATTTAACGACATTAAAACTGTTTTGTTAATAAAGGAGCAATAATGATCATGCCACAATAATACTAGGATTAAATGTGAATGTTCTAATAAAAAATGACTAAAAATGAACTACTACCTATAAATCTAGGACAAAAATGAATTAACTCTCTGGCAATTTTAATTAGATTAACTAGAATTAATGTACATTCTTTTCCATGTTAATTTCGTGCCCATTATTAGCCCTATATATATCACGCGAGATGCACATAATGCAATTTATTTTTGTTTATACCTTTGAACTAATACTAGGAATACAATTGGATAGGGTAAATAACAACTTTGGTCCCATGATTATTAACTTAGTTGTGACAATGTGTATCTACAAGTTTAATGAATATCATCGGATGACTATCATTTTAAAGTCAATTTTGCTCATTTCTGATCTGTCATCCCTCCGACTCAAAACATTCCCGAATCTTAAAATTATAAGGTTATTTTTGTCTATCCAAGTATGCTAGGTCCTTTGGTTATCTCATCAGTAGTCCTTTTCCTCACATTGGTCGAGATGAATGAAAATAATCTTAAAATTTTGAGATTCCAAAATGTTTTAGTAACTGGATTGATCAAAATTAACATTGAAAGTTATTGGTCCTGGTAGGGTTATGGAGTGAGTCTAGAGGGGAGAAGGGGGAAGGGGGGAGGGGGGGGGGGGGGGTGTATATTTCACAAAGCCTAGGCATTCAAAAAAAAATATAACGTATTAAATATTTAAATGTAATATGGTTATAGTATTGTTACGATATTGTTTTTGTAAATTTTGTTATGAATTTATAATGATATATATTATTTTAATTAAATTTATTATTTTAGGTGTTATTTTTAGGATTTTAAATTTTAACTTAAAAGAGTTCGGTTAATCGATTAACCGAAAAAAATTTAGGTTCGATTAATTCGGTAACACAAATTTCGATTCGGTTAACGGTTAAATGTTTAAAAATTTCAGTTAAATCGGTTTGGTTAAAACGGTTCGGTTAACCGATTGAACACCCCTAATTATAAACATGAAGAATAAAGATTTATTCTTTCTCCAACTGGAAATCTTGGCTTTTGAATTTGGACGACCACCCGCCAGTGTACCCGCTGGTACGGGGCCGTCCCCTGGCGGGCAGACGGCGGGTGGTTGACCACCCGCCGTTCCGCCTGCTGGTACGGGCGGCGTGGTGTGTTGTTTTATCCCGTTTGGTGTTTCCCCGTGCCCCGTTGTGCTCTGTTTGGTGTTTATGAGTCTCGTACGATGTTTCGGGTACCGTTTGAAGAGTTGTGTGAAGTGGTTATTGTTGTGGTTGAACTTTGATTGTTGTTATTGTTGTGAATTGATTACCATTGTTGATTGAGTGTTGATGGTTGATGTAACACCCCCAATTTTACCATATTTTTAAAACTTAGTTGCAAGAGAAAAACAATCTAATAAACCATTAAACAAAAGCGAAAGCATGTCCATACGGGGGCATTATGCCACATCTTAAATACTAAAAGATGCACAGGCAGGAAAACTAAAGTATTCATCAAAGTCTACAGAGTCAAGGCACATAGGCCGCTCAAAACACAACGTCTAGACAAAGGATAAAACTATCTAAGCTCCAGTCTAGCGCTCTCGGTCTCTACTCAAAACCTGTAGAACAAGGAAAACATAACATGGGGATAACACCCGGTCAGCGAATATTGCTGGTAACCCATCAATACGCGTTAAATAACATATATAGGTAAGTATAAGTCAAAACCATTTTCAAAACGGAATACAGTATATATCATTTCAAAAGCCATAGAGAGAAGTCAACTTCAAAGACTCATTCACACTCTCAAAGGAAAGGAAATCGACATCCTTACAACAACAACAAGACAAGAAACGTGTAAAACAATACAACTCGAGATGCATTCTACTGATCACAAAGTAGAATACATCAAGACATGCTCATTAGCAAAGAATACACATTCACACATTGGCAACTACATGCCACAGTGACAACTACATGTCACAAGTTTCACAGTTCCAACCTTATGCCCTGTTCCAACCTTATGGCTACCCCCGGCCTTATTTCAGTTCCAACCATTACCTCCGAGTGCCACCCTGTACTTCTGAGTCCAACCTTATACCGCCAGGGACCGTCGTCCCCCCTCCAACATAGCCTCCAACATACCACCTACATATGAGTACACGAGGGTACTATTCATTTCATTCACACAACCACCTACATATGAGCCTACGCTCATGTAACACACCACCAATTTCAATCATAGTCACACAAGTCATCATCATTACCAAGAAGACTAAGGTTCCACAATAACCTTAATCAAGTATCAATCAAAGGGTACAATGATTACATACGTTCACATCATAGGAATCAATCAATGGATCACAACAAGGATATGAAACCTTACTCAACAATGAAGGATCACAATCCAACCCCAAACGATGGTCAACACAAGTTGCCAATCTCAATAGGAAAGAACAAACCGCACATACTAGCATTTCAACATCAAACTAGCATGCTTATCAAACGGGTAAACCAAAAGTAGTTCCATAGAACATACAAGACTCACAATAGTCCAAAGAATCACAAAGTCGGACACTTAGCACGATTCAAGACACCAAATCCTAACATGGATTCCTAACTCATCGTTCTAGACATACAAAACATCAAGAAGACTCACAAATGACCCAATAAAACATCATCGGGAGGTCAAAACATCAATACCGAGTCAAAAGAATCACGAGGAACAAATCCCTGCTAACCCACATACATGTTCCCCGTGGGTGGGGCCACGGGTGGACAACCACCCGTGCTTTCGCCTGCGGGTACCAAACCCACAGGGCACATGTACCCCGCGGGTGGGGCGGCGGGTGGTGCATTGCTCGCCGTTCCGCTCGCGGGTACACCCTGTACTCCAAAATAATCCCTTCGGGGATTTTCAACAACAAGTCCAAATTCAAGTCCAAAACACCCAAAATCTCACACAAAACAACAATATAACTTGAACCAAATAAATAGCCAAGCAATGGCATTCAAGAACCCTAAGAACAAGCTCTAAACATGCATTACCACAAGACAATGCATCAGATCTCACATTTCAACACAAGAATCACAAGTAGTGGTGAGCAAAAAAACCGGACCGACCGAAAAAACGATGACCGATAACCGAACCGACCAAAAATTTTGGTTTTCGGTCGGTTATCGGTTATGGCCTTAAAAAAAATTCGGTCATTTCGGTTTTTTGGTCGGTTATCGGTTTTGGGCCAAAAAAAATAAAACCGACCCAAAAACCGAGGGGACATGTCCATATATTTTTATGTAGCCAACTACTCCCATACATTTAACATTTTAATATTTCCACTGAGCCCAAAGCCCCAAGGCCCAAACTGTCATAGTATCTCGTATTCCCCTAATCCCTAATAAACTAATAGTACATATTGACAAATCAGAATCTCACTCTCAATTCTCAGTTTCTCACATACGAATATACGATGAGCTGACTTGTGACCTGAGCCCTAATTCCATTTCCGCATTTCCCTCTCCATTGTTCATCCTGCTCGGCGCTTGCTGCTACGGCCTACGACTCCGACTCGCGACTTCCACCTTCAGCTGATGACTTGCGATTGACCTGCGACCTGCAACCTTCGAGTGATCGAGTCGCGACTTCAGCAGTTCAGAGTTTCAGACCATGCGGATTAAAAAGAAGTTTCGTCTTCAAAGTGGTCGAACTCCCCTCACTGAGCGAGGTGTGACGAGTCGGTCGAGTCCTCCTTCAGATCATAGTGTAAGTCCTCTAAGTTCTCTCAATCTCCATAAGCCATAGCTATTGTGCATTTCTGTTCTGCGTGAGGCCCTCACTGCCTGCTACTAGTTAGTATACCGTAGGGAAAAGTACTATACTACTATTTCTTAGTTAGTTAGTTATACCCTCACTGCCTGCTACTAGTCAGTATACACTATACAGTAGGGAAAATCAATTCTATGCCTATATATACCATATCATGTAAATAGGTGTTAGGGATTTTTATTTTCCTCCTGAATGAGGTTGAATGATGTGGTTTTGCTCATCCCTATATAACTATTTGGATGCATTCTATTATATTATCTGAAATGAACAGATTCTGTACATTTTTATGGCCATTAGCCTAATTAATTAATGTCATGTAGCTCATAAAGTTGTGTTCAGTGGCCACCAAACCATATATGTCTGTGCTTTGCAATATTTCTGGCTATGTAGTATTTATGTATTTTTTTAAATTAATCAGTTGCTTAGTATAATAGTATTGCTTAATTGCTAAATTATTAAGTAGTGTAGTAGACGATTTGTGTTTAGCTTGGGCTGCTAAATTACTAAGCAGTGTGTTTAGCTTACTGATTGTTTAATTGATTTTTTTGTTTTTGTTTTTACTAGATATCAACATCATCAACGGATTCAGATTCAATTGAGAAAGGTAAAGGAACAAGGGCCAAAGCACGAGCAAATGATGAAAGTATAACTGGTGCTGGTGGAACAAGCCGAACAACTACAAGTACTGGGGTTGAAAAGAGGAAACCGAAGGCTAAACGACAAAGGCCGGAGGTAAGGGATCACTTCCATAAGTTTATTACAGATAGTGGTGATAACAAAGCTAGATGCAATTATTGTGAAAGAGAGCTATTTGCTGATACTAAATTGAATGGGACTAGTTCATTGAAATCCCATTTGAAAAGTTGTTCTAAATTTTCACGTACTAGTTCTGATCCTGCACAAACTGAGTTATTTTGTCAAGTAACTGAAAAAGGGAGTTCAATAAGTTTTGGGAAATATAGTGCATAAGCTCTTAGGAGGGGTATAGCTGAAATGATTATTGAAGATGAATTGCCCTTTAAGTTTGTGGAAGCAAAGGGGTTTAGAAAATGTATGTTTATTGCTTATCCTAGATTTAAAATGCCCTCTCGTTGGACTATTGCTAGGGATTGCTATGATATTTATTTGGATGAGAAGAAAAATTTGAATAGTTTGTTGCATTCTCATTCTGTTAGAGTGTCACTCACCACTGATACTTGGACATCATTGCAAAGGGTGAATTACATGTGTCTTACATGTAATTTTATTGATCATGATTGGAAATTGCATAAAGGATAATTAACTTTTGTCCAATTACAAGTCATAAGGGTGAGGATGTGGGTAAAGCAATTGAAAAGTGTTTGCATGATTGGGGTATTGATAATGTTTTCACCGTTACGGTTGATAATGCTAGTTCTAATGATGTTGCCGTAGGATACTTGAAAAGAAAGTTAAATAATTTGGGTACGAGTATCCTACAAGGAAAATATCTTCATATGAGATGCATTGCACATATTTGTTGGTCCCGATAGGGTGGTGAAAGTCTAGAGGGGGGGGGGGGGGTGAATAAACTTTCAAGCTTTTTCAAAATAAATAACTCTTTGGTAATTTCAACTCTAAATAACAAGTAAATAGAGTAAATTTAAACTGCAAAGCGGAATAGGTATTATGTAAAGAGTTATGCCCAATCAATAATTTAAATGCGCATGTAAGATGAGTACAGATGATATGTAAAGTGACAGAGATATCTTGAATATATAAAGGAGATGGTCCACTCAATATATAATAACAATATTCAAGATTGTAAATAAATATCGTATCACGTCGACCGTGTAACGAATGTTACATGCAACACGTCAAACTTGCTTAGAATAATTCAATATTTAAGCTCGAGAAGTTTGAGTCTCATGCATACGTGAAAACACACTAAACCCGAAAGATTAAGATTAACTGTGAATAGTAAACGGGTTAGTCGGATAAGATAGATAGATAGAGCAAATTATGTAAGTGCAGTATGTAAATGAGAGAGGCAATTTATAGTGGTTCGGAAGTGGCGTAATCTTCCTAGTCCACTTCTCTCCTTTCGCGTCTAGGAGAAATTCACTATTTTCCACACGCAGTTACAATAGTGAATAAGCGCTACACAAGCACTTCTTCCGGATGTTTTGCACACAGCTACACCCAACTCCGAGTGTCTCGCACACAGCTACACTCAACTCCGAGTATTTCGCACACAACTATACTCAACGCCAACTAAGTGTCTTGCACACAGCTACACTTAGCAACTATGAGTGTTTTGCACACAGCTACACTCACTTGAGTATTTTGCACACAGCTATACTCAACGCCAACTAAGTGTCTTGCACACAGTTACACTTAGCAACTACGAGTGTTTTGCACACAGCTACACTCACTAGAGTATTTTGCACACAACTATACTCTTTTTACAATTACAAATACAAAGGTAATTGTATCTCTCTCCAACTAGATTTGAGACTATTCAGACTAAGTCTCTAAGAATATTTGAGCACTTGCACTTGTTCACTTCTTATCTCGTGTGTATTCACCTCTTCATCTGTCTTCAAGTCTTCATGGATTTTTATATGCAATCAAATATATCCGTTGGAGTGGGATAATTTGATATTTGATTTGAATCTTCATAGCCTGATATTGTTGACAATAGTAGGTCTTCAATTTGATTTGATTGTCAACTTGCCTGACAAAATAATATCTTATCTCCACTTGATTTTCTAGTTGTTTCTTTTAAAATACTATTTTGTTGTCATATTGAATATCCAACGTATCTTTGAAATAAATTCATCTGATAGAATTTATTTCTAGGATAAGTTTTTTATATTCATTTCTTCATAAGTATTTTTCCGTTCTGATCAAATGTCTTTCAGGCAATTTTGGATTCTTGTGGCATGTGGGTAGACTTAGAATAAATTCCTTCGAATTTATTCAATTTCTGATCATCTTGCTTCTTTGCCACATTGTGCTCCTTTGACTTGAACATCGTGCTCCTTGACTTGAACATTGAGCTCCTTTTGAACATTGTGTTCCTTTTGAACATTGTGCTCATTTTGAACATTGTGCTCCTTAGCACACATCATGCTCTTTAGCACACATCGTGCTCCTTGGCACACATTGTGCTTGTCCGCATTGTGCTCTTTTTAAGAACATTGTGCTTGTCCGAAAACTTGACTTGTAAAAATGAATCCTTGGGGGGAATCAATCTCGGGTGTGATCGTTTTGAATAAGGACTTCTACCATTTCACCGTTAAGCTCATCCAATCATTCTTTGCAATGCCATTCCTTTATGCTTTTTTCTCGGATGAATACTCGTAGGACCAAAATTAATTTCCCAAATTAATTTTGTTCTTCATATGGTAGATTCCCTTTGATTCGATATTCTGATTTATGATGCTTGTACTAAAAGACCTGAAAACCAAGGGGATCTAAAGTACATTTGGCTCATCAAAACTTACAAAAATATCCCTATCAATATCATTAACATTATTGTCACCGATGTGATGAAGGATATGAATGAATCAATTGCTAAAGTTAGAGGGGCTATAAGATATGTGAGGCAATCACCATCTAGGTTGGTCAAATTTAAAGGTTGTGTTGAAATTGAAAAGATTCAATCTAAAGCTTTGTTGAGGTTAGATGTGAGCACTAGATGGAATTCCACTTACTTGATGTTAGATTCAACTCAAAAGTTTGAGAGGGCATTTGAGAGATTTGAAGAAGTTGACCCTAATTATAAACATGATCTCTTGTTTGGTGATGGTGTTCCAAATTATGAAGATTGGGAAAGTGTTAGGAAATTAAGCATGTTCTTGCAACAATTTTATGATCTTACTATGAAGATATCTGGTTCTTTGTATGTGACTGCAAATGTTTATCTTGATGAAGTTTGTGATGGTTATTCTACTTTACGTGAGTGGTTGAAAAGTACTGATTCTAAGTTTAGTTCAATGGCTAAAAGAATGGTTGAAAAGTATGACAAGTATTGGGGGAATGTGGAAAAAATGAATATGTTGCTTTATATTACATGTGTACTTGATCCTAGATACAAGAATACATTTGTTGATTTTTGCTTTAAAAAGATGTATCCTACGGATCAATTGAAGGATCAAGCTTCTATCTTGTCTGTTAAAATTAGAAGTGCAATGGTTGAATTGTTTGAAGAATACACAAAAATGCATCAACCTCAATCTTCTCAATCTGTAACCGATGATATCTCTCAAAGGAAGGGGAATGAAAAGAGGAATAAGAGTAATTTTAAGAAGTATAAGGTTGAAATGGGTTGTGGAGAGCAAAAGTCTGAATTGGATAGGTACCTTAATGAAGAGCTTGATAATGATGAAGATGATGATGACTTTGATATTCTTGCTTGGTGGAAAAAGAATAGTCATCAATTTCCCATCTTATTTGTCATGGCTCGTGATATATTAGCTATGCCCATATCAACCTTTGCTTCTGAATCAGCTTTTAGTACAAGTGGGCGTGTTCTTGATGCTTATAGGAGTTCTTTAACTCCTAAAATAGTGCAAGCACTCATTTGTGCTCAAGATTGGATAAGACAAGGAGCACATATGGATGATATGGAGAATGAAATTGTTGAAATGGATAAGTTTGACCTAGGTATGCTTTACTTTTTATTTGTATTTATTTTGTTGTTCATTATATATTATGTTTTATTACTTTTCGATTCTATGTCAAAATATACTAACCTTATTGTTATGTGTTTTTAGATTTGTCAAAGCTTAGTTTGGATGGTGTGATTGACTCATAAGATGTCAAAATCAATTGAAGAAATGGGTAAAATATAATTTAGTTTTGCACATTATATATTTGTTAATTGGGCAATCATATTATTCATGTTTTGAATTTTCTTTTGTTTTACAAATGGCAGTGAGCACTGGGCAGTTGGCAGTGAGATCTTTTGGAGAATTGGAGGAGTTGGAGCATATTTTAAATAATGGTGTTACTTGTTTGACTTTTAATTCTTATGGAATATTATCTTATGTTTTGTAATTTTAAGACCATGTTTTGAATTTGGAGTTTGGACTTTGGACTAATGGACCGTGAGAACTAAGCAGATTGCAGTTTGGCACTTATTTTAATTCATGGATTGTTAAGACTAATTTCAGTAATTTGTATTACACTATTACTTATGGACATTTGATTTTACAATTTTTATGTGATTGAAAACTTTAACTAGTAATATTGCTTTAGTGTTAATATTCTTGAGTTTAGACTAATATTTTTATGAAATTACAGGCCGTTAGGGCATTAACTTCGGTTAAAAATAACCGACCGAAACCAACCGAAAATTTCGGTTTTCGGTCGGTTCGGTTATGTTTAGTAGATCGGTTATTTCGGTCGGTTATGGGAGGGGTATACATTTTTCGGTTATTTCGGTTATTAACCGAAAACCGACCGAAACCGACCGATGCTCACCCCTAATCACAAGTAAAAGCCAATAAATCATCATATAAGTAAGAAAATAGGTTTTGTAAAGCATGGGTTACCTCTGTAGCCTAAAACTTCACTTTCTCACCCTTAGAAATCTTCTCCTAAAGCTCTTCCTCCACACCAACTTTATAAACAAACCAAAAGACAACAAAGATTCTATTTTTAGAAGAAGACTTCTCAATGGAGGTTAAAAACACCAAAAGATCAACGATCTTACCTTCCCCTATGCTCAAGATTAGGAAAGTAGGAATCTTGGAAGACAACATGGAAGATTTAGGATGCCCAAATTTTAGCTTAGAGAAGAAGCTAACAATCCTTAGAGAGAAGTTAGAGATTTTGTGTTTAGATTGTTGGTGAATGAAATGAAGAGATGTTGCTAGGTTAGCTTGAAGCACAAACCTTAGGTAGAAAGACACCTTTGCCCTTACTAAAGTTGGAAGAATAAGGAAACAAGGGAACAACCCAATAAGCCTAAGGTACAACCCTTTGACCTTGAATAACTAGTCAAATTCTAGTCCTTCGACTATTGAATTTTCAGGATTTTTAGGAATAAATTAACAAGGAGACTAGGATTAATTCTCTAATTAATCCTTGATTAAAGTTTGGATTTACGGGGTGTCACAGTTGATGTGTGTCATTAAGCACTGGTAGTCGAGAGAGCTTTAGTGAAGATATCTTCCAGCTGATCACGAGTCAATACAAAATTTACCTTTAAAGCGCCAGAGGAGACTTTATCTCGGACGAAATGGTAGTCAACCTCGACATGTTTAGTTCGTGCATGGAACATGGGATTGGAATAAAGGTATGTTGCTACGAGATTATCACACCATAGGACGAGCACTGTTGGAGGGTGTAAGTCAAGTTCATTAAGGGGAGACTGAACCCAGGTTACTTCAGCAGCAACGTCAGCAAGTGCCTTGTATTCTGCTTCGGTGGAGGAGCGAGCAATGGTTCATTGCTTCCAAGAGACCCAAGATATGAGATTGGGCCCAAGGAACACTGCATAGCCTAGTCTGAATCAGAGAAGGCATGGATAATCGGTGAATATGTGGGAGTGAGACGAAGACCCAAGTTCAGCGTCCCTTTCACGTAGCGTAACACACGCTTGAGAGCCGCCCAATGTTCCTGCGTGGGAGTGTGCATGAATTGGCAGAGCCGGTTCATCGCAAAAGATAGGTTCGGACGGGTGAGCAAAAGATACATCAAAGAGCCTACAATCTGGCAATATGGTGTTGGATCATCTAGCGAAGCTAAACCATAAGTGTTCCTCGTTGTGGTTAGGGACATCGGGGTTGCTAGCTATTTGCAAGACTCCATCCCAGCTTTGCGGAGAAGCTCCGTCATGTAGCGTTGCTGAGACAAAATAATGGTGTCCGTAACATAAATAGCTTCAATGCTCATAAAGAAGCGCGGTCTGCCCAGGTCCCTAACTTTAAAGACGGTGGATAACTTATCTAATACATCATTGACCATAGCCGACTCATTACCTAACAATAAGATGTCATCTACATAGACTAAAAAGTATATACAACTTTGGCCCGAATTAAAAATAAATAATGAAACATCTGTTTTCGATGGTCGGAACCCAACTTGCACTAAGAACTTGTGTAGTTTTGTGAACCACGGCCTAGGAGCTTGCTTTAGCCCGTACAACGAGTGTTGTAACTTGCAAACATAGGTAGGGTGGTTCAGGTCGGCATACCCCAGAGGTTGCTGCATGTAGATGTCCTCAGTAATGTGTCCATTTAGGAAAGCGTTGCGGACATCTAGTTGTTGCATTGCCCACCCATTCGAGACTACATGGGCTAAAAGTAGCTGGATAGTGGTCGGCTTGACCACAGGACTGTAAGTTTCAACAAAATCCTTCCCTAGAATTTGGTTAAACCCCTTGGCTACTAGTCGAGCCTTGTAACTCTCGATGGTGCCATCAGATTTGCGTTTAACCCGGAAAACCCACTTGCATTCGATGACGTTCATGTCCTCTCGTGCCAGGATTAAACGCCAAGTCTGATTGTGTAGTAGTGCGTTGAATTCATCATCCATAGCTTTGCGCCAATGCAGAAGTTTGATAACTTGTGAATGGCATGTAGGCTCATCATCGTCGATAAATGCAACCATCACCGTCGGCTGGCATCGTTGAGCATCGGTGGTCGACCGCATTTGCATGGAATGTGTGCATGTTGTAGGACGAGTGCGTTGGCGTCTACCCGCCGCAGTGGATGATGTCGTCGGTTGAAAGGAAGACGCAGTAACATCTGCCGTGGATGATGACATGGGCATGACCTGCTGATCGAGCGCACAATTGCTCACGAGCGGTTGTGGAATAGGAGGGAGGCCTGGCAGAGCTCCAACTAGAGGTGACGGTTGGCGTACTTGGACGCACGCCTATGGTGTTGAAATGTGTGTCGAAGAGGTCCCATCCGCCACTTTGGAAAAAGGGAAAAGCATCTTCATTGAAGCTAACATGCCGAGCGATATACACACGCCCGGTGGTACTGTCTAGGCACCTGTATCCAACAAAAGAGTCTGGGTACCCCAGAAAAGCACACGATATTGAGCGGTAGTCCATTTCGTGAGAATTATAAGGTCGGAGACACGGGAAACACTCACAGCCAAAGACAGGCAGCATTTTATAGTCGGGAGATTTATGAAAAGAAGTATATATGGACTGACATTTTGTGAGACTGATGACGGCATGCGATTAATTAATTGTACCACAGACTCGAAGGCATATACCAGTATTTTTGGGGAACATGACCTTGAGCCAACAGTGTATGTCCGATTTCGACAACATGACGGTGTCTATGCTCCACACGCTCATTTTGCTCGTGCGTGTGGGGGCATGAATGTCTATGCGAAATTCCTGTGGAAGTGAAGACCGAGTGAAGTCAATGGTATTCACCGCCCATATCGGACTGGATACATTTAATATGACAAGTGGGTAATTTGTCAATAGTAGCACGAAAGGAACCACATAAATCTAGAATAGTCATAAACAAAGAGTACAAAATATTTAACTCCATCAACCGACGGAACTGGAGCAAGGCCCCATATATCTGTGAAGACTAATTCTAAAACATACTGATTAGAAAGCTCAACCCGTGAAAGCGGGAAACGCGCTGACTTGCCCATTTGACAAACATTACATAGATTATTTAAAGAGCGGTAGGACCCTTTAACATGACAGTTAGATAAAACTTGACGAAGAACCCGGACATGCGGGTGACCTAGGCGATTATGCCACGTTTGCGGTGACATTGCAGCATAAATTAAAGCAACTGGAGAGGACGTAGCAAGTGAGTACATCCCTCCTTCACTAGGACCCTAAGCAGAATTTGGTTGGTGGTACGGTCCTTCACAAGAAAATGAAAGGGATGAAATTCAAAGTAAATGTCGTTGTCCCATGTAAACTTATGCACGGATAACAAAGACACACGTAATTTAGGCACATGTAGGACCTTATTTAGAGACAGTGACCGAGACTTAGAGATTTTGTCCACGCAGAAAGGGTACAAGTTGCGCTCTCCAGAATAGGTAATTCATGGCTGTCAACTTGATGGAAACGTAATGGTGAGCATGCTATAGCATGTTCGGGCTGCAGTGATCGGCTAAAGTGGTAGTTGCCGATCGACTGAAGGAGTCAGCCGGAATGTCATTGTTTGGAGAGGGAATGGGGTTCTCATTTTGGTTGTCCATCAGGATCTTTTAGGCTGATACCAGATGAGTGTATAATATTTGATTGTGTATTAAACTAAGAGTTACACAGGCTATTTATATACAGAAGATGAGCTGTAAGATAGGAAACTAACACTAAAGACTCTAACAAACTAAGGAGTAGTTACTCCATGTAATACTCCAGAGAGAATGCAATGAATATAGACCAGGCCGAAAATACACAGGATATTTTTATCGCAGTTGGAGAACACACCTCCTAATTTGTGGCACCATGCCCAAAACTTTCCACCAAAGATCAACGGGTGTTGTTACAAGGTTTAAATGATATACAAAAATTAGGTCTACCATCTATTTTTAACATTAACTTTATACATCAACTTTGTTAGCAAAGTGATAGATGCCTCAAAGTTAGATGCGCTACAAGATGAGATTGTGACAATGTTGTGTTTGCTGGAAAAGTACTTTCCTCCTTCTTTTTTTGATATAATGGTTCACTTAACTATTCATCTTGTGTGGGAGGTCAAATTGTGTGGACCGGTGTGGTATAGATGGATGTACCATTTGAAAGATATATGAAAATCTTGAAAGGTTATGTGTGAAATCGCAATCGACCAGAAGGTTGTATAGCCGAGTGTTATATTTTTGAAGAAGATATAGAATTTTGCTTAGAGTATTTGTCTAACGTACAAACAATTGGGATCCCATCAACATTTCATGAAGTGGTGCATACTCGGCCTTTATCAGGTGCTCAAGTGCAATCCATTAGCTAAGCACAGTGGGAACAATC